CCCAAGCAAGCTGTGTTAAAGTCAGTTTTCTCTTTTGAAATTCTCTCCAACATTAGGAAGTTTTTTCCTACATAGGACTTACATTTAAACCTCATCACAAATAATAATAATAGATAATAAAAATTAGCGGATATTTTTTTGTGAAATGACAAAATTTTGTGGGTATTCTGGTGTTCCACGAAATTACCAGATATAAAAATTATTTCTGAAAATGAAAAAGAATATTGTAAAGAAAAGTTTATTTATGGCTTGAATTAAATAACGCAAGGAATAAAAAAGGCAAACCAAAAGAATGTAAATTGACAAGATACTCTGATAGAATCTGTGAAGATTGTATTAGTTTACAATTACAGTGTCTTTTCGCCATTTGGACATCTGGAAATAACATAATTGATGATTTTATTCAACAATGTCAAATGAAATCATCTCTGCCAAATTATATTTTAGAATGGATACCTTTTGAGCAATTTAAAAATGTAAAAAAGTTAACTGAAGATGGGCTTAGTTCAATTTATACTGCAGTATGGACAAGAGGTTATATAATATATACGAGGAACCCATCAAACGAGGAAGGAACCCATCAATAACTTTCAAGTAAGAAACCAAGATAAATTTATTGTAAGTTACTTTTTTGTTCTATAATGTGTCAATATTTTAAGAAATTATAGTGTTTGCTTAATAATCTTAAGAAAAAAATATTAACAAGGACAATCTAGTTGTATACCTATGTCCTCAATTAGTACATCTTGCAACAAGCTTGAATATAAAGTATATAGAAAATTTTACAAAAGATATTCTAGTTTAACTAAACACGAAATAACACAGTCACACAATCAGATAATTTGGCAATTACTATTATGATGACAATTTATTAAGGTAAACAAATATAATAATAATAGTAATTAATTTTATTATGAATACAAAGAATTGGAGAAATAATAATTAACAATAAAGAAATTTATTTATTAATGATAGACCTTTGGCACTGTACATCAAGCAAGGTTTGAATATTTCGGAATAAAGCTCTAAAGGGTTGTGGTGGTGGTAGTGATAGTAATAGTAATAACGGTGGTAGTGGCAATAATCATAATGCCATGGATACAAGTTGGTAATAAAAAAATATTATTATTATTATTATTATTATCTAAAGATTAATATATTTAGGGCTTCTATTCGTAATACAAATTCTTATTCGAATTATTCGTAATACAGTTGACCTTTAATATTAATTCGAATTAAAAATTTAATTCGCTTTATTCAAATTATTTGTTTTATTTGTTTTATTCATTATCGGAATCTTGGGTTTGTTCATT